ATTATTGGAATTAGGCTGATTAGGAAGGAAGTTTTAACTGTGTTTGTGATAGTGGTGGGGGAATTTTTGAGGTTGTCTGATAGTATGGGGAAAATGATGGGGGTGGACAGGGTAGCTAGGGTTAGGAGTATGAGTGTGTTTAGGACTAGTAATAGGTCCATTACTTTCACTTGGATTTGCACCAAGGTGGATGGTTCCTAAGACCATTGGATTACTTCTATCCTTTGAAAGTAAGGGGACTGAGGTTTTATGCTCAGACGCGAGAATTAGCAGTTCTTGTTGGTTTGACCTCCCCTCGGCAGGTAAGAAGAGTTTAACTTCTATTTTTAGAGTCACAGTCTAATGTTTTGGGTTGAAACTATACTTGCATATGGGTACGCCGGAGATAAGTTCAGGCTTTAGGATAAGTAGGATTATGGGGATTATGTGTAGGGCTATGAGGAGGTGTTCTCGTGTAGAGGAGTTTTGGATTGATGTAATGTGGGATGGGAGAGCTCCTCGTTGGGTTATTATGAGCATGTAGAGGGTGTATGAGGCGGTGAGTAGAATTGCACTTCCTGTGAGTAGGATTGTAAAGGAGGATCAGTTGAAGAGTGCGATTACAATGGTTAGTTCTGCTATGAGGTTTGTTGTTGGTGGTAGGGCTATGTTTGTTAGGTTGGCTAGTAGTCATCAGGTGGCTATGAGGGGTAGTAGTGGTTGTAGGCCTCGTGTGAGTAGGAGGATTCGGCTGTGGGTTCGTTCATAGTTGGTGTTGGCTAGGCAGAATAGTATTGAGGAAGTCAGTCCGTGTGAGATTATTAAGATTATTGCACCTGAGAACGCTCATTGGGTTTGAATTATTGTTGCGGCTACGACTAGGCCTATGTGGCTAACTGATGAGTAGGCGATGAGTGATTTTAGGTCGGTTTGTCGTAGGCAGATGGCGCTGGTTATTAGGGCTCCTCATAGTGCTAGGGTGATGAAAGGGTAATGGAGGTTATTTGATGATGGGTTTACTGGGATGGTGATTCGTATAATGCTGCATCCTCCTAGTTTCAGGAGTAGGGCAGATAGTAGTATGGAGCCAGCGATTGGTGCTTCTACGTGGGCTTTGGGGAGTCAGAGGTGAAGGCCGTATAGGGGGGCTTTTACTATGAAGGCTAGTAGGAGAGCTAAGCTTGCGGTTAGGCCGGATCAGGAGTTGTTTAGTGTAGGGTGGGAGAGTTTGAGCATTGGGAGGTATAGTGTACCGATTTGATTTTGTAGGTGAAGGATTGCAATTAGCAGGGGTAGTGAGCTAGCAAGGGTGTAGAATAGAAGGTAAATTCCAGCATTTAGTCGTTCTGGTTGGTTGCCTCATCGTGTAATGAGGATTAGGGTAGGGATCAGGGTTGCTTCAAATGCAATATAGAACAGCATTAGTTCTGAGGCTGAGAAAGCTAGGAGGATGGATAGTTGGGCTAGGATAATTGTTGTAGTGAAGATTCGTTTGCGGATAGGGGGTTCTTGTTCTAGGTGATTCTGGCTTGCTATGACCATGAGCGGTAGTAGTCAGCATGATAGAACGAGTAGTGGAGAGGAGATTTGGTCGATGGAGGTTCAAGGGGTTAGGCCTTTGCTTGGGTAGTATGTTGGGACAAGTCATTGAAGGCTAACGCTAGCGATTAGGAAGCTATGTAGGGTGATGTTGGTTCATAGGTGTTTGTGTACGGATAGGAAGGTCAGTGGGAGGAGTATTATAGTTGGGATGATGATTTTTAGCATTGTAGGAGGTTGAAGTTGTGTAGGTGGTCGGAGCCGTGTGTTCGGGTAGAGGCTACTAGCAGGGCTAGGCCTGTGCCTGCTTCACAGGCGGAAAATGTTAGTATGAGGATTGGCAGTAGGGTGGAGGATGTTGATTGTATTTGGATTGGTCATATGGCTAGGGCAACATACATTGATAGTATTATGCACTCTAGGCATAATAGGGCGGAGATTAGGTGAGTGCGGTGGAAGGCTAGTCCTAGGCTGCTTAGGGTGAAGGCTGAGGAGAAATTTAGGTGGAGGTAGGACATAAAGAAAGCTATAGGGTTGGAGCTATAATCTGTTGAGTTGAAATCAACTGTCTTGGTTAGACTAACTTTCTGTTACTCTGCTCATTCTAGGCCTCCTTGAGCTCATTCGTATACGAGCCCTAGTGTAAGTAGGAGGATGAGTGTGAAGGCTCATACTAGGATAGTGATGGGGGATTGAAGTTGGACTGCTCACGGTAGGGGGAGTAGCAGGGCGATTTCTAGATCAAATAATAGAAATAGGATGGCTACTAGGAAGAAGCAGATTGAGAATGGTAGTCGAGCGGATCCTAGGGGGTTGAATCCACATTTGCATGGAGATAGTTTTTCTGGGTCTGGGTTTATTTGGGCAAGTCAGAAGTTTAATGTGATTAGGATAAATACTTAGGGCCATGGATAAGGTGAATATGAAGGTGATTATGTTAATTACTCTTCTCTGGGTTTAAACCAGATTCTAAGGATTGGAAGTCGATTGTAATTGATATACTAGAAGAGTAAGATCCTCATCAGTAGATAAAGATGTATAGGAACAGTCAAACGACGCCTACGAAGTATCAGTATCATGCTGCTGCTTCGAAGCCGAAGTGGTGGTTTGATGTGAAGTGGAATTTAATTAGGCGTAGTAGGCATACTAGGAGGAATGTGGATCCGATGATTACGTGGAGGCCATGGAATCCGGTAGCGACGAAGAAGGTTGAGCCATATACTCCGTCGGCGATGGAGAATGGGGCTTCGTAGTATTCTATGGCCTGGAGGGCAGTAAAGTAGAATCCTAGGAGGACTGTTAGAGTTAGGGCGTGGATTGCTTGTTTTCGGTTAGCTTCTGTGATGCTGTGGTGGGCTCATGTGACGGTGACTCCGGAGGCTAGTAGGATGGCGGTGTTTAGGAGTGGGACGTCTATGGGGTTTAGTGGTTTAATTCCTACGGGAGGTCATTGTCCTCCTAGTTCTGGGGTGGGGGCTAAGCTTGAGTGGAAGAAGGCTCAGAAGAATCCTAGGAAGAAGAAGGCTTCTGATGTGATGAAGAGGGCTATTCCGTATCGTAGGCCTTTTTGGACGGTGGGGGTGTGGTGGCCTTGGAATGTGCTTTCTCGTACGATGTCTCGTCATCATTGGAATATTACTAGGGCGGTGGAGAGTAGGCCTAGGATTAAGAGTTGTGGGGAGTTGTAGTGGAATCATATTGTTAGTCCTGAGGTAGTTAGGAGGGCAGCGGCTGCTCCTAGAATGGGTCATGGGCTGGGGTCTACTATGTGATAGGAATGTGCTTGGTGAGCCATTGGGGTTAGATGTTTTCTTGTAGGTAGAGGCTTAGCAGTAGGACAAAGACGTAAGCTTGAATTATTGCTACTGCCACTTCTAGGATGGTCAATAGGAATAGGACTAGTAGAGTTAGGAGGGAGACTGCTGGTATTGTTGTGGCTAGGGCTACTGTGGCTGTGGAAATGAGTTGGATTAGTAAGTGTCCTGCTGTGAGATTGGCTGTTAGTCGTACTCCTAGGGCTAGCGGTCGGATGAGTAGGCTTGTTGTTTCGATTAGAATGAGGGCTGGGATTAGTAGTGTTGGGGTCCCTTCTGGTAAGAGGTGGGCTAGGGAGATGGAGGGTTGGTTTTGTAGTCCTGTTTGGAGGGTGGCGAGTCACAGGGGGAAGGCTAATGCGAGGTTTATTGATAGTTGGGTGGTTGGGGTGAATGTGTATGGTAGTAGTCCTAGTAGATTAATAAGTAGTAAGAAGACTATTAGGGATGTTAGGATTAGGGCTCATTTGTGTCCCTTTTTGTTTAGTGGGGTTATTAGTTGTTTTGTAACTAGGTTGATGAATCATAGTTGTAGGGTTGATAGTCGATTTGTGATTCATCGGTTGTCCATGGAGGGTAGTAGTAGGGCTGGGAATGTTATTGAGATAAGGATCAGTGGGATTCCTAGGAGGGATGGGCTGGAGAATTGGTCGAAGAAGCTTAGGTTCATGGTCAGGTTCAGGGAGTGGTGTTTGGTGTCGTATGAACTTTACTAGATGGAGGATTAGTTGATATGAATGTTAGGATTTTGGGTTGGATGATTATGGAGAAGGTTAGTCATGAAATGAGCATGATAAAAAGTCAGGGGTTTGGGTTTAGTTGAGGCATATCATTAAGGAGGGGTGGGTTCCTCTTTCTTTAGCTTAAAAGGCTAACGCTGGTTCATAGCTTCTTAATGGTTGGTGATGTTTAGGATGAGATTGAAGAAGATCAGCTTTCGAAGTTGGCGAGAGGGGTGGATTCTACTACGATTGGTATGAAGCTGTGGTTTGCTCCGCAGATTTCTGAACATTGTCCGTAGAAGACTCCTGGTCGGGATGCAAATAGGGAGGTTTGGTTCAGGCGTCCTGGGATTGCATCAGTTTTCATGCCCAGGCTTGGAACAGCTCATGAGTGAAGTATATCGTTGGCGGTGATGATGACTCGAATGGTGGAGCTTGTGGGGATTACAACTCGGTGGTCGACTTCTAGGAGTCGGAAGTGGCCTAGGGGTAGGTCTGTTGTAGGGATCATGTAGGAGTCGAATGTTAGGTCTTTGAAGTCGGTATATTCGTAGGATCAGTATCATTGGTGACCGATAGCTTTTAGGGTGAGGTCTGGTTCGTTGATCTCGTCCATCATGTAGAGGATTCATAGGGATGGCAGAGCTAGTATGATTAGGTCTATAGCTGGAAGGATTGTTCAGACGAGTTCGATTGCTTGTGCGTTGACTGTGTTGGAGGTTAGTTTTTCTGTATGAGGGTTAATAGGTAAAGGACTAAGCTGCAGATTGCCAAGGCGACCATTAGTGCGTGGTCATGGAATCCTATTAGTTCTTCTATGATAGGAGATGAGGCGTCTTGGAAGTTAAATTGTGAGTGGTTTGCCATGGTTGAGCGTGGAGATGCACTGGAGTTTCACCTGTAATTTAGTCTTGACAAGACTATGTAATGTTTTTACTAGCATCTCTTTATGAGAAAGAAGCATAGGTGGTTATGCGGTTGGCTTGAAACCAACATGCGGGGGTTCGACTCCTTCCTTTCTTGGACTTGGACGAAGGCTGGTTCTTCGAATGTGTGGAAGGGTGGTGGGCAGCCGTGAATTCATTCAATATTAGTGCTTGTTAGTTCTGGTTGTAGGACTTTACGTTTTGATGCGAAAGCTTCTCAGATAATGAACACTAGTATGATTACAGCTGTTAGGGAGATGAGTGATCCTACTGATGAGATGGTGTTTCATAGTGTGTAGGTGTCTGGGTAGTCCGAGTATTGTCGTGGCATGCCAGCTAGGCCTAAGAAGGGGGGGAAGAACGTTTGGTTTACTCCTACGAATATTACTCCGAAGTGTACTTTGGCTCATGTTGAGTGGAGTGTGTACCCTGTGAATAGGGGGAATCAGTGGGTGAATCCTGCTAGGATTGCAAACACTGCTCCTATTGATAGGACGTAGTGGAAGTGGGCTACTACGTAGTAGGTGTCGTGTAGGGCGATGTCTAGTGAGGAGTTGGCCAGGACGATTCCGGTTAGGCCTCCGATGGTAAATAGGAAAATAAATCCTAGGGCTCATAGTATTGGTGGGTCTCACTTGATTGTGCCTCCGTGGAGTGTTGCTAGTCAGCTGAATACTTTGATGCCGGTTGGGATGGCGATGATTATAGTGGCGGATGTAAAGTATGCTCGGGTGTCTACGTCCATTCCTACTGTAAACATGTGGTGGGCTCATACGATGAATCCTAGGAATCCAATGGATAGCATAGCTCATACTATTCCTATATATCCGAATGGTTCTTTTTTACCTGAATAGTAGGTTACGACGTGGGAGATGATGCCGAAACCTGGTAGGATTAGGATGTAAACTTCTGGGTGACCAAAGAATCAGAAGAGGTGTTGGTATAGTACTGGGTCTCCTCCACCTGCTGGGTCAAAGAATGTTGTGTTTAGGTTACGGTCTGTGAGGAGCATTGTGATTCCAGCAGCTAGGACTGGAAGTGATAGTAGAAGTAGGACTGCAGTGATTAGTACGGATCATACGAATAGGGGGGTTTGGTATTGTGATAGGGCAGGTGGTTTTATGTTGATTGCTGTTGTGATGAAATTGATTGCCCCTAGGATTGAGGAAATGCCTGCTAAGTGCAGGGAGAAGATAGCTAGGTCTACTGAAGCTCCAGCATGGGCTAGGTTTCCGGCTAGTGGGGGGTACACTGTTCAGCCCGTTCCAACTCCTGCTTCGACTGTTGAGGATGCTAGTAGTAGGAGGAAGGATGGGGGTAGAAGTCAGAAGCTTATGTTATTTATTCGTGGGAATGCTATGTCTGGGGCTCCGATCATCAGAGGTACTAGTCAGTTTCCAAATCCTCCGATCATGATTGGTATAACTATGAAGAAGATTATCACAAAAGCATGGGCCGTGACGACGACGTTGTATACTTGGTCGTCTCCTAGGAGGGCTCCAGGTTGGCCTAATTCTGCTCGAATGAGGAGGCTTAGGGCGGTACCCACTATTCCGGCTCAGGCGCCGAAGATTAGGTATAGGGTTCCGATGTCTTTGTGGTTGGTTGAGAATAATCATCGGTTAATGTATGTCATAGGTAAGATGGCTGAGTGTATAAGCGTTAGGCTGTAGTCCTTTTTACAGAGGTTTAATTCCTCTTCTTATCAGCCCTGTGGTGAAGTTCATGGTGAGTTGCAAGCTCATTGATGTGCATTAATTATGCGCCGGGGTCTGTAGGTAGAAGCCTGTTGGTTTGGGCATATAGCTGTTAACTATAGTGTTGTGGGATCGAAGCCCATCTGCCTAGTTGGTGGGTAAGGTCCTAGCTTAATTAAAGTGCCCGAGTTGCGTTTGGGAGATGCAGGGTAATGTCCTGCGGACTTTATCAGAAACTAAGAGGGTTTAACTCTTGTTTAAGGCTTTGAAGGCCTTCGGTTTAAGTGATCCTAAGTTTCTTAGATGATGGTGATGATTATTGGGGCAATTGGGAGGAGAGTGATGGATAGGGAAGTCAGGATGGCGACTAGGGTTTTAGTTGGTTTGTTAACATGCCATTGTTTTATGTGGCTGATGGTGTGTGGGGGGAGTGTGATGGTTGCGCAATATGCAAGTCGGAGGTAGAAGAATAGTCCTAGCAGGGATAGTAGGGAGATGATTGTGGCTGCTGGGGCTATGTCTTGTTTGGTTAATTCTTGGATGATGAGTCATTTTGGGAGGAATCCTTTTAGAGGGGGCAGTCCTGCAAGGGATAGTAGAGTTAGTATTAGTATTGCGCTTAGTGATGGGGCTTTTGTTCATGCAGTTATTAGGGTTGATAGTTTTAGGACTTTGATTGAATTTAGGGTTAGGAATACAGCTGCGGTTATTAGTGTGTATAGGTAGAAATTGAGGAGGGTGAGTTTGGGGTTGTACGTGATGATGATAGCTATTCATCCTAGGTGGGAGATGGATGAGAAGGCTAGAACTTTTCGGACTTGTGTTTGGTTCAGTCCTATTCATCCTCCCAGGGCTGTTGAGAGGATGGCTATGGTAGTCAGAAGGGCAGGGTTTAGGGAGGGTGAGGTTATAAAGAGGAGTGTTATGGGTGGTAGTTTTATGGCTGTGGATAGGATGAGTCCGGTGGTAAGGGGAGAGCCTTGTAGTACTTCTGGGAATCAGAAGTGGAAGGGTACCAGGCCCAGTTTTATTGCAATTGCGGAGGTTAGGATCAGGCAGGATGTTGGGTGGGTTAGTTGGGTAATATCTCATTGTCCGGTATGTCATGCGTTGGTTATGCTGGAGAATAATACTAGGGCTGAGGCAGCTGCTTGGGTTAGGAAGTACTTGGTTGCGGCTTCGATGGCTCGGGGGTGATGGGATTTTGAGATTAGTGGTAGGATAGCGAGTGTGTTGATTTCTAGCCCAGTTCAGGCTATAATTCAATGGTTGCTTGAAATTGTAATGGTAGTGCCTAATAGGAGGCTGGTGATGAAGATTAGTTTTGCTTGGGGGTTCATTAGCAGGGGAAGGGGTTGAACCATCATTTTCGGGGTATGGGCCCGATAGCTTGTTTAGCTGACCCTGCTAGAAAATAATATAAAGGAAGTATAGAGGGTTTTGATTTCTCTAGTGTAGGTTCGATCCCTACTTTTCTAAGTATCAGGAAATGAGAGGATTGGTGCACCTCTATGTTCACTTTATCATAGTGACCCTTAAGTGTTCAGGCACATTTCCGGTTGTCTTAGGTATGGGGGTAGGCCTGCATAGCAAATTGGTATGCTGATGTGTCATAGGCATAGGGCTAATGTGAGTGGGAGGAAGTTTTTTCATAGTAGGTGTATTAGCTGGTCGTATCGGAATCGCGGGTAGGAAGCACGGATTCACAGGAATCCTGCTGATAGGAGGAGTACTTTTGTTGCTAGTACTACTGGAAATAATTCTTGTTGGGGGTTGAGGAAGCTTGGGTTAAAGAATAGGATGGTAGTCAGTGCGTTTATTAGTATGATGTTGGCGTATTCGGCTAGGAAGAATAGGGCGAATGGACCTGCTGCATATTCTACGTTAAATCCGGAGACTAGTTCAGATTCTCCCTCTGTTAGGTCGAATGGGGCACGATTTGTTTCGGCTAGCGTGGATACATATCATATTATGGCTAGTGGTCAGCATGGGAAGATGAGGTAGAAGGGTTTTTGGGTGACTGCTAGGGTACTTAGGGTGTAGTTTCTGATGAGGAGGATGACAGATAGTAGGATAATCGCTAAGGTTACTTTGTAGGAGATTGTTTGGGCTACTGCTCGGAGTGCCCCAATTAAGGCGTATTTTGAGTTGGAGACCCATCCTGATCATAAGATGGAGTACACTGCTAGGCTTGATATGACTAGTAGGAATAGAACGCCTAGGTTTAGGTCCGCTAGGGAGAATGGTAGGGGGAGTGGTATTCAAATTGAAATTGCTAGGAGGAGGGCTAGCATGGGCGTTGTGATAAATAGGATTGGGGAGGATGTTGATGGTCAGATGGGTTCTTTGATAAATAATTTGATGCCATCTGCTAGGGGTTGGAGGAGTCCGAATGGTCCCACGATATTTGGGCCTTTTCGGCTTTGTATATAACTTAGGATTTTACGTTCTACTAGTGTTAGGAAGGCTACTGCGATCAGGATTGGGAGAGCATAGGAGAGGGCTATGATGAGGTTAATTAGGAGAGGGTAGTTGGTCATGGGGTAGTTTGGAGCTAGGGAGAGGATTTGAACCTCTGGGTTAAAGGACTTAAGCCTTTTGCATTTTCCGAACTCTGCCACGCTAGCTGGTCCTTTTCTTGGATGTGGGGGGGTGTGATAGCTTTTCGTAATTTAGTTGACTTCATTACTTAAGGCGAAGGCTTGCTTGTAGTATTGGCCTCACTTTTCCTATCCTTTCGTACTGGGAAGAGTTCATCATAGATGGAAACCGACCTGGATTACTCCGGTCTGAACTCAGATCACGTAGGACTGTTAATCGTTGAACAAACGAACCCTTAGTAGCGGCTGCACCACTAGGATGTCCTGATCCAACATCGAGGTCGTAAACCTCCCCGTCGATACGGACTCTCGGAGGAGATTGCGCTGTTATCCCTGGGGTAGCTTGGTCCATTGATCAATTATATTGGGTCTGGGTGCTGTTAGCACGTTGAGGGGTTGCTCTTAGTCTAGATTTATGGTCTAATTTTTGGAGGCTTTGTTTTACTCCAAGGTCGCCCCAACCGAAAAACACGTACCAATCTCTTATGTGTCAGTGAGCCCAGTGGGTGTATATGTGATATAAGGTGGTCGTTGGTTTTGAAGTTCCACAGGGTCTTCTCGTCTTATGGGTTTATCCCTGCTTTTGTACAGGGAGATCAATTTCACCGATTGCCTGTAAGAGACAGTTAAGACCTCGTTTAGCCATTCATACAAGTCTCGATTTATGGGACAATTGATTGCGCTACCTTTGCACGGTTAGGATACCGCGGCCGTTAAACGTGAGTCACCGGGCAGGCATCACCTTCAATACTTGTTTGTTGGTTTGCTGAAGGCTATGTTTTTGGTAAACAGTCGGGCCTTGACGGGTTTGCCTAGTTCCTTTTACAGGTTTTAATCTTTCTTAATGGACGCTCCTCTGTCGGGTTAACAAGATACCTAATACTCTGCTTGTTTGATTTATCGTATATTGGTGGTTTGTTAATAATGTATAGATGTAAGCTTGCGTCGTAGAGGGAGGACCCTGGTTACTCATTCTAGCATTAATTCTCCTATTTGTATATAGGTTAGCCTGTTAGTGGGGAGGGAGTCATAAAATTCTTATATTTTTTGGGTACGGAGCTTTAACGCACTCTTTGTTGATGGCTGCTTAAGGGCCCACAGTAAGTTCGTATGTTATTATTTATCCGCTCGTAGAGATTGTATTCTTTTTTAAAGGAGCTGTACCTCCTTTAAATAGCCCTTAATTCGCTTCATTAGGGTTCTTGAGTTTCCTTGGAGAAGAATTAAGAGTGAACTTAGATTCGTTTCACAGGCAACCAGCTATCACCCAGCTCGATTGGCTTTTCACCTCTACCGACAAGTCATCCCACTCTTTTGCCACAGAGACGGGTTCGCTCTGACAGCTGCTCGTAGGTAGCTCGCTTGGGTTTCGGGATGGCAAACTTAAATTCATTTTGCTTGGTTTTTCTTGCTAGACCATGATGCAAAAGGTACAAGGGTTGATCTTTGCTGTTTATAGCTTAGTTTTCATTGTTATTTCATCTTTCCCTTACGGTACGTGGTCTCTATCGCTCCAATGGTGTCTTTTCTATCGCCTATACTAGGACTAGTGAATGCTTTAGTTGGGTGTATGTAGTAGCTTTGTTATTCCAGGTCATGTCGATTGGGCTAGAGTTTGGCATCAAGACGATCTGGTGTTAGCAGATATTTTTCAGGTGTAAGCTGAATGCTTTTGCTTAAGCTACGTCTTGGTATTCTAAGTGCACCTTCCGGTACACTTACCTTGTTACGACTTACCTCATCTTTGGCTGGATAGCTTATTAATTTATGGGGGGGGGGGGGGCGCCTGCGAGGAGGGTGACGGGCGGTATGTACGTGCCCCAGGGCCGGCTTAAAGAGGGCTCGATTGTCCCACTTTACTGCTAAATCCACCTTCCAGGGACATCATCAAGTCCAGCTGCCTGACTACTTCAGGGCTAGCCAAAATAAAAAGCGTTGTATTAAGGGCATTGTCCAAATGTCTTTTAAATACTGACAGGCTTGGGGGATTGACCACCTCTCTCAGGAGCCTGTTCCAGGGTTTGATCACCCACTGGATAAAGAAATGCTTCCTCATGTAAAGTCTGAACCTCTTCTGCGGTGCACAGCTTTGAGCCACTCCCACATGACCTGGCACTGGGTCCCCGGGAAAAAAGGTACCTTTTCTCCTTCCTTGCCTCAGAAAGCTGTAGAGAACAGTGAGGTTGCCCCTAAGCCTCCTTCTCTCCAAACATGAAAACCCAGTGTCCTGAGCTGCTCTCACAGAACACCCTGCCAGTCCCTTCCACAGCTTTGGTGCCTTCTCTGGATTCATTCAGGGACTTTCACAACCTTTTTAAATTATGGGGCTCATAAGCACACAAAACACTCAGGGTGAGGCCACACCAACACCAAGCACAGCAGGATAATCTCGTCTTTGAAGTGGCTGGTGAAGCTGTATTTGATCCACCCCAGGATGTGGTTTGCCCCCTGGGCTGCCTGGGCTCACACTGCTGACTCTTGTTGAACCTCCTGCCAGCCAGCACCCCCAGATTCATCCTGCAGGGCTGCTCTCCAGCCACTCCTCATCCAGTTTAGATTTTTGCCTGCCATTACTCCTTCCTATGTGCAGAATCTGACATTTATCCTTGTTCAATTTCATGCCACTGATGTTTGCCCAAGTACTCCAGGATACCCAGATACCTCTGCAAGGCCTTTTGTCCCTCAGGAGTGCAAGCAGCACCTCCCAGTTTGGAATTATCAGCAAACTTGTTCATGGTGCGTTCAATTTCTGCATCCAGATCACTGAGAGATCTATTGAACAGAACTGGCCCTAGAATGGAGCCCTGAGGAACACCCCTGGTGACCAGTCACCAGCCAGATGTGGCCCTGTCCACTGCAACCCTTGAGCTCTGTCCTTCAACCCAGTGCACCATGAACCCACTCATCCCACAGCTGGAAAAGTTGTCCCAAAGGATGCTGTGAGGTACAGTACCAAAAGCCTTACAAAAACCCAGAAAAACCACATCCACTGTATTCCCTTCATCTGCTGGGCAGGTGACCTTATTACAGGATACTAAATTATTTAAACTCGACTTTTTTTATGCATCTGCATTGACTATGACTGATGATTGCAGTGTTCTTTAAGTGTAGTGATAGGACAAGTCCTAAGTTTTAAATTAAAAGAGAGTAGATTTACATTAGATATAAGGAATAAATTGTTCCATCAGAGTGGTGAGGCACTGGCACATGTTGTCCAGAGAAGCTTGTCCAAGATGCCCTATCCCTGGAAGTGTTCAAGGTCAGGTCGGATGGAGCTCTGAGCAACCTGCTCCAGCAAAAGGTGTCCCTGCCTATGGCAAGGGGCTTGGGCCTAGATAATCTTTAAGGTCTCTTCCAACCCAAACCATTCAGTGATTCTGCTGCATTCTAGGGCAACCTCCCCTTGCTGATTTTCTTTACCTCCCCATTAACTACTGGAATTAAATTTTCCGTATTTCTGGTAGAATTCTCTTTTACTACCTTTTCATTGTAATTTCTTTGAAGCTTGCAGCCTTCTGACTTTATACACTCTTGCTATTATTTTTTATTTGCTTTGAGTCAGAAAGTTTTATTCTCACTTTTTATATTATTCCCTATCCATTTTCAGATTTCAGTTTCTGGAACATTCTTCCCTGTTGCTTTCTCTGCTTTTCAAGCTGTTAATACATTTTCTAAGTCACAATGTTTTGCCTGACTTTACCCAATGGATGAGCAGTTCTCAATTTTTTTTCTGATGCAGTTCCCCTTGCACAACTATAAATTTATTTTCTTTCAGGGTTGTAACTTTATTGGGCATCATTGGGATATTTTTGTAGAAAGTGTTCCCCCATTAGACTGGTCCTCTAGAGAAGACCCTGTCCTCATCTCTGTGTGATGAAGCTGAACACCACTGTCATTAGTTTGCTTCCCTCTTCCTTCCTTATATCAGAATAACAGGCAGTAACTTTTATGCAGGTCACAAAAAAAAGAATATTAAAAGAAATATTGCAATATAGAAACCATAATTTTATTGGAAATGATTAATCAACATAACTGCAAGAAGTTCTAACTCAGTGCTCTAACAGGTATATTTTATTGTTACAAAACGGCGCTCTGGTTGAAAGTCCCTCAACTGCAGCAGCTTGAAAGCTGCTTAACAGAATATCAGTAATGGCAGTTTTTCTTACATACTTTGTGCTAGCAAACCTGCTTACATGTGGCAAACTATTAGTTTGAATGAGGAAATGGTAAACATGTACAAAATAAATCTTTCAGTAGCTATGGCAGGGTTTTGGTTTTTTTTTTTTGTTATTGGCAGCCTTCATTTCGAAGGGAGTGGCTTTTTACTTCATGTCCTTTTACCAGTAGGCTGAGTTAAAGTTTTGTCATCATCCACCTCCAATCCATTCGCCTCTTCCAGTAATTCATCCTGCAGTTCATAGTCTGAGGCCGATTCAGTGTAACCTTCCCAGTAATCAGCTTCGTATCTGTCCAGCAAGTGTTTCTGTGCTGTAATGTCGTCATCATCAGGATGATTCTTTGCTTTTTTCTTTTTCATTTTCTTTTGAATCTTAGAAAGCTGCTGCTGCTGCTTCTCTGTCCAGGCAATGTTTTCTATATGTCTTGACACTTCCATTTTTTTATAGTCCATTATCTGTTTATTCAGCAGGTCATGATCAACACCAAACAGATTAGCCCTCATGGGTGAATATGAAGATTGAGTTGTTGAAGGGAAGCGTTTACTGTGGGAAAGTAAAAAAGTATTGGCTTGTTTTTTTCCCCCACATATATTTCTATTTTTGACAACTTGAGTAACACAGAAATAAATTGGACTTTTCAGTTTACCTTTATTAACACCCTGTGTTCCCTATGTTATGAAGGAAGAGAAACACCATATCATGTGTCAAAGGACAGTCTGTGTCAACACATTTAATGGGAGAAAACCAATAAAACAACAATATGTCAGATGAAACTGTCTGTCCTGAGAAAAAATGTATCTTGGTGAGCACTGTATCTGGGAGCCCCAGGGAACTTCTCCCAGCTCTTCCAAGAAGTGAGAAGCAGCAGCCTCTGCCTAAAACACATCAGAACGATGTGACACCTTATGCTGGACTTGACTATTTCCCCAAGACACAGAGGAAGCTGTTAGGTGCCCTTTGGGGAATCTGTCACAGGAATGACTTCCCACGGGAAGCTATTTCTGATTCATACCTGATGGACCATCCTGTGAGATGCTGAGGCACAGAAGGCATTTCTACCAACAGACTACAGCACACAGGTACGAAGGCTGTTGGCTTTGAGAGCATCCAATCCACAGAACCACTATTCCAATAGGTTGTTCAGCCCTATCTCTCAATGGTTAAAATTCCCTCACAGAAGAATGTTAAATTAATGTAGGGAGATTTGTCAGTAAACTTGCAATCCGTGTATAATAAACCAAACTTATATCAGAAAAAAGTGGACAAGTAGAGCAGTATTGGTAAATGCCGTTTTCATCCTCATGAGACAATTACCAGCAAAAACCAAATATTACTGCTGCTGAGCATTTTTAAAATTTTGATTATCATCAACACATCAAGTCTTGAAATCTTAGAAGTTCTGCATATATTTCACTCATAAAAACTAAGATATTAATACCAGAACAAGTATCAGGTCTGCAAGTAACAATGTACACACCTAATTAAAATACCTACTCTTACGTTGTCCAGCAAAGATGAAAACGAACACTCGTACAATTCTGAACCAAAAAGACCCACCTTGAATCATTTTGAGATGTTTCTTCTTCTTCTGGAGGTCCAAAATCAGCAATTGACAGTAAGTCCTCGACCTGTAAACACATGAAGGCCACACATATTAAGGATCCTGTTTAAATCTACTTTGTTCCAATCTACACAAAAAACAGACAAGTATCCAACAGCAAATATGATATTTTCTATGTTTGGAATATTTAGCAAAACCACTTTAAAACAGACTTTTCTTTCTTTTACATGGAATTGCTTATACTTCTTGCCTGGGATGTTTTTGTCCAACTGTGTATCCAGAGATTCCTACAAAGTTTTTTGCCTTATGTGAATTATGAGCCTTTGGCTAGGGATTGTCTGACATATATATTTTTTGGTTTATTTCTTCTTACCTCAGCCTTGCAAATCTTCTTTCATAACATCCTCTTTCATAACCTCCTGATATTTTTTTCACCTCTTCTCCCTTTCTGCAAGTTTGCATTTCTCTTATAGGCAACTGTGGAGTTCCCAAATCCCTTTTATCATGGCATCTAACCAGTAAGTGCTAAATATTATTAATGCGTTATAACATGCTGTGCTTACGGACTATATGTAATTGTAAAAATTTTCTCTTGTTTGAAATTTCATTTCAGCTTTTCTTTACATTAATTCCCTTCTAATCCATTGTATTATTCTAGGAGTTTAATTGGATATATTTTCTCTTTACTTACAATACTTAAAAAACAAGTTCAGTGTGTTATTTGAATCTGTGATTGACATAAATCTGATGAACTGTGAAGTGGGAGAAAATGATCCATCTATCTGATAGTAAAAGGGTTTTAAAATCATGGGGATTAAGGGTTAAAAGGAAAAATAAGCTTAGTAGGCCCTGGAAAAATAAACACCCTAAGCACATGAAGAACTTATACTTGCTAGAACTGCACCTGTGTAGCTAGTACATGATAAATGATATAATTGTAAGATGTG